TTTTTCATTTTGTTCATTTTTTTGTAATTATGAGAGGTTGATTAACCATTTTTATTGTGGAGAGTGTTAATCATGGATATTATCATCTTCATTATTTTAATTTTAGAGAAATACATGAAATAGTTTCATTAAGTAGTATATGAAACAATTTCATAACCACATATGAAACAACTTCATCAAAAAAAAGTATTATATGAAACAATTTCATAAGATTAACAATTTCATGAAAAAAATTCATAAGATTAACGACGGATGAGAGTAGTTTTTACTGTTTTTACAAATTGGAGTGATTTTCATTTGATCGCTTCTCTCCCTCTCTCTCTCTCTCTCTCTCTCTCTATATATATATATATATATATACTATCTTATTAAGCAAATTTAACAAAAGTCTTAAAGTCTTAAAATACTAAATAACCAAAATACCCTTTATACTCACTTTTTCACCCCCTCACACTCACCCTCTCACAAGATTTTTTTAAATTATAATTTTAAATTTACTCTTTATATCCCTATATTTAATTAATTAATTTATTTTACGTCCTTTACTTTTAAATGTTTCATTTTAAACCTTTATCAAATTAATATACATAATCCTATATCAATTAAAACATGTTTAAAAAATACAATATTATTTTAACAAGTTACACCATTATAATCGTCTCGTTAATGCCTTCGAAATGAGTCTAATATTGAATAGTTTTTGACTTAATTATATTATTATATATTATATATACTGTAAAAAAATATTTTTATTATTTACGATTTATACTTTTATAGTTATTTATTTATATATATACTATATATTTTGGGGTTAGGCTGTCCAAATTGCACTGTATAATATATTTTGAATTAATATGTTCTTGGGTTTTTTTGAAATATATATATATATCTATACATGTATTAATTCAACCTTAATCTGAGTTTCTGGACAAGAAAGAGGGTAAACAGTTGAAATTTCATTCTAAAATCACTTTTTTTTGTCTTTTCATGGCTTATGATCTGTTAAATTTGTAGTTTCTTTATTGGTTTTGAGTGTTTATCTTAAAACTCAAGTTTCTTGGTTCTTTGCTCTTGTTGTAAATCGAATACATTTGTGGAGTCATTTAAATATGTTGGATTTTATATATATTGGATTTTAAACTGTTATACAATTTTTTTCATCGATAGTATGTAATTGGAACCATAACTCTTATTTATTCAAATTGTATTAATATGCAAAGACCAAATGTAACTTATATCATCGTTAAATCTTATCTTATAAAACCAGTGGAACTTCAAAATCGTTAAAATTCATTGCTCTCGTCGTATTGCGCGGATACACAACTAATATATATATATATATATATATAATACACTATTCAATCGACGTCACCAAACACCCCCCACCCCAAACCGGCAGCTGACGTGGTTGCTCCTTCTTAGTGTCCACTCCTTGCAAACCCACTGAACCTACCTCCCTGCTCCTGTCCAGTGACACCCTCCCCTGGCCAACCACCACCAAAAACCACCTACTCGCATTAAATTGACCAGCTCCTACCCCTTTCCGGTTATCCCTACATTACATATATCATATATGCATATATCACCAGCTGCATCTTCGTCCCTATCACATGCAACCACCTCTTTCCTCCGGTGGTCACACAAACACTGTCATCACTTTCTCCAACTCTCTCTCTCTCTCTCTCCGGTGAACATACAAACATGGAGACTTCCTCCATCCAGTTTCCACCCCTTGGTCTTCTTTCCTTGAAGATGTTGTGTGTGTGTGAGAGAGAGAGAAAGAGATCGTTGCAGGTAGGGGTGCTCAAAAACCCTTGAGAGGGACCACTTACAAAGCAAAATGTAAACAATAAGTACGATAAGTATAGTTAGCTTAGGACCACTTTCGGAGAATTCACCATGCATAATATCACGAAAAATGGATACATATTCTCCTTTCCGCTTCGTTCACTACCGCTCACGAGGGCGGTTTGGTGTAGCTTACTCTTAAGAAAACGTAGAAAAATACAATATATCAACTTCCAAACGACATCGTTTAATAAATGATACTTTGAATTTTATTACTGTAAATAAAGAATCATAATACCCTAATAAAACATAAAATACACCGTGTTATCGTATAATTCTCGAAATCATTTCGGTTTTTCCCAGATCATTTACGTTCAAGCATATCTTAAAACGATAAAGTAACGAAAAACTTTATTTCATAATACGAGTGGTTTAGAACAAAAATCTCTAATCTAATACTCTGTTACTTTCCCATGCTGAAAATAAAATAGAAAGGAATAGTTCAAGATTCTTATAAGACCACAAGAACCAAATCAGAATGTTTTAAGGACAAAAGGGCTTGTTAGGGTCAGCTTTGTGGCTAGGAATCCTGAAGTGCCTTAACCTCCCTTCTTGCTTCTTCATATACCCTTCACACAAAAATGCATTTGAAAACTTATCTTCCACCACCCTATTCACATCATGCACAAAAACATCCGTCTCTCCTTCCTCCCGGTTCCTCGCCATCATCCCGGCCGTATAGATTGCGCTCATCCGCCCCGGAGCCTCATCATAGTACCCTGTCGGTGCATCCACCATGATCAAATCCCACACCGTCTCGTAAACATCACTCGGCAAACCCTTGAGCGCCAGTTGGCACACAGAGTGCTGCGTTTCACCAACCGCGGTGCACTCCGCCCCTTTTCCCACTTCCATAAGACTATCTGCTTGATTCACCTTACTATCATACGTCACATGGTACGATTCCAACGTCGGAAATCTTTTCTTGATTTGCTCAATCCACGCCTCATCTTCTTCTAGAAATACCGTGCGTCCACCATAGTTTAGCGAGCTCCACATCAGGCTATCGTGGCCAAGGCCGAATACTAGGAAGTTGCAGGGTGATTTCTTATCTAGGATCTTTTTACTAACCGATATTTCTTTGCTAGTTTGCTGTGGGGTGATGGTGGAGGTTGAGTAGTGGACGAGTGCTTGCGCTATAGAAGGTGGGATCTTGTTGCAAGTTGGTGAACATTTTGTCACCTTTTGAATGTTTCTAAAGGAATCTGAAACCGCTTTTGGGATGATTGTTTCTGCAATCGGGGATGAAACTTGGTCCTTGGAAGTCGAAAAGGTTGATCTAAATACAAAGAGGAGGAAGAACACAAAGATGACGCCAATGACCATAAGCTTGGTATTCACAGGGTATTGTGTTCTTGACCTCATTTTCCCACCAAGTTTCTCGGCAGAATTGGAGTTTATGAAGCTATGGGGGTTGTATGCAAGTATGTATATATGTGTGTGTGTATATATATGTATTAGAAATGGTATGATGATGCTTAGAGTTGAAGTGATTCTATAGAGAATTACATGAAGTAAGACATGGGAACCAGAAAGATTCTGAATGAAGCAAAAGGGTGGTTGCCAAGTTTGGTGTCATTGACTTGGAAAGATGATAAAGACATCTTCAATCATTTTGAGTTTGGTGAAGGCAGTTAGTCACCAAATTAATTTACTAAAGTCAAGGCAAAGCAAGATATCTATCTACATTATTATCACTATAGAAGATTGCTAATTTAAGGAAATGGTCCTAAAAGTACCTGAAAACAGAGGGAATGATGTAATAACTTGAAAGTAGATGCTTTCTGTTTCTGCAACAAATTTGCTACAAATTCTGGCAACCATTTGAGTACCTGCATCAAGAAGAGAGGAAATATCGGCACAGTTCATAAGCACAGAATCCAATCCGCCTTTACGTGTTCTCATTTGGCCGTTTCGCCAAGTAACCAAGAAAGAAATTACAAAGTTTTTTCCTAAAATATTTTGTAACCTTTTACATTAGATTAAGTAAAACCTTAGTTTCAGAATACCAGGCTAAAGCTATACAAGAGAAAACCCACCATGTTTCCATCCAAAAACAATAATATTTGTGCAATTTGGAAGCCCGAAACACTCAAATTTCTTCTCAGTTAACCGCATCTTCTTAATCTTGGAACTGGATGCACATAATCGCGCATTTACCTGATTCCTCAGGAAATGAATGAGAATTTCTACTTAACAAGTTCACCTAACATTTCCGCTGTACTGCAGTAATGATTCCCTTTGGCCATTATCGGCGTATCCCTTTTTGGTCTTGGTCTTGTCAAGACGAGCTTTACGAACAGCATGTTGAATTTGTCTTTCATGCTCTTTAAGCATTTCATCCATGTTTCCACCAGGCGGAACTAATGGTCCAGAGTAGTGGATCCGGTTTTTCTTGGGAGCATAACCCTGTGATCACAAGACACATGATAAGGACAAAATCTATACCCGTGAGATGCAGAAAAATACAAGATTTTATTGTAAACCGAGTATGGAAAATAAATGCAATTTATCATTACAAAGAAAATCTGAAATTTAAGTTTGAATATGGATTAGAAGCAGTAGTGGAATATGCCTTGCTAATTCTCGGACTTGGTAAGAAAAACCCCAAGAAATATTTCGATATTGGTGTCAAACTAAAGATGATAAAATGCTTGTTTTTTTGTATAATTTGTTTAACTTAATATAATTTAAAAATATTATATTTAAAATAAAAAGATGTAATTTTTTTAGTTTTAATGATGTACTTCTTTGTAGATAAAGATAAAGAATGCAATATTTTGTCGTATTAGTAGGGCTCAATGATTATTTTGTATTTGAACGTGTTTATCAGTTGGTTATTAGTTAGTTTTATAGAGTTAAAAAAGCTTTAAAGAATTGTACATATGCAGTAATTTCTGGTAAACTTGAAATTTAAGGGATTATGCATTATTAAACAATACATGACGCTTAATAAGTTGTTCTTTTAAGATTTTTACCTAAATGTATATAGTATAGATATTATTCACATTAAGCCCAATTGATAATCATGTCAACGGTCAACCATATTGAGTCAAGTAATTTCTTTTCTTTATATGGCTTTCTAAGAATAACTACTTCATCTAATGAAAGATTTTTTTTTACCTTTCCAGGTGGATGCTCATGCTTCTTGTAAGAGCCATTCGGCCCGTCCAGCATATGGTGAGATGATTCCGCATCATTTAGTTGATGATACTTTCCATTTGGTCGATCTTCGGGCCAATGTGCACTAGAACCTTTGCTATGGTCCAACCGTGAACTACCATGCCAAGCTAATGAATTTGAAAATTTGGACAAATGAGCTCCACGAGATTTATAATGCTGAGATGAATCAAGTCCGGCTTGACGTTCATCCAGTCTTTCTGGGACTCCAGGTTGCTTCAACTGGCCACTATGGATGCCATATTGTAAGGATCCTCTAGAAGGTTCAATAAGGAACCCCGAACCACCATCTTCTTCATGATTGAATTTCTCACTACTACTTTTAGGGTTTTGTTGCTCTAGCCGCTTCTGAAACAAACAAACAAAATCATCATTACGTTCTGCTTCATTTTCTCTTTAGCTTTCCCAATTTGTTTATGTCACTTCCATTTGGCACAGTTTTGAAATTTTTCGAACTTTTTGCAAGAAAACAAAAACCAGGACACGAGTGCGTTAGTTGATTCTCTTTAAAACATGAAACCATATGCAAGTAAATTTCTGAAAAGCCAGGACGGCAAACTTTAGGTGTTCTTAGTAACAGTTCCTGGAAGCCAAAAAGCTGAAACCAAAAAACACCATCCCTAAAGATGCATTGAAGATAACAACTAACATCATACAAACATGAATAAAGGGAACACAAATGGGAAGATAAGATTAAGGGATTTGTTTCCAGAACATGTTAAACATATGTTTGGATCAACCTATAATACAAGAATTACCTGTACGGATGCCTGCAATTCCGCATTAGCATCAGGTGCTGGCTGAGCTCTAGATTCTCTTGTGCCCTTTCTGAATAATTCCACTCCACGTGCTTTCCCAGCACTTGCTTTATTCCTGCCACCATGATAGAAAGAAAAGTTATCCCAACACGAAAGAAGCAACAACTTGTCTTTCATGCCAAACTGAGTGGGTAAGCTCAAACAACAAACCATCAATGTGGAACCTTATTTTACTCTCCAAAAGAGCACTTGAGGAGAGAAGCGAAGTTCCAACATGTATTAGTGAGAAATGGTCTAGAGTGCCCATATAGGACTCCAACACCCCCCCCCCCCCTTTCAAACGGAGGCTAGAAGGGCACACATTGTTGAGTCCCTACAGTGGTAGACCTTGGCTCTCATACCATGTGAGGATACATGGAACTGCATTAGATTACTCTCCAAAAGAGCCCTTGAGAAGAGAAGTGGGGTTCCAACATATATTGAGGAGAAATGGTCCAAGTCAGGCCGAAGTGGGACTCTAACGCGCCCCCTCCCACGGAGGCTAGACGTTCAAAATTGTCGCAGAGTGTCGAGAGGGGGCTACGCGAGTACACATTTCACTGGTGTTGGGTCCCTATAGTGGTAAACCTTGGCTCTGATACCCATGTGAGAATACATGGAACCCCATTAGATTGCTCCCAAAAGAGCCCTTGAGGAGAGAGGGGAAGTTCCAACATATATCAAGGAGAAATGGTCCACGTCTAGTCAATATGGGACAAACTACAAATAAGCGAACCACTTTGAAGGAAAATGGAGTCGATGCTGATTATAACACAAATAATAAGTAATTAAATTAGATCATATTGCTCATATACGTAAGCATCAAAGAACAATGAGTACTGATATGAATGCAACAACCTCAAGTTAATGTATAACCTATATAAGATAATTCTTGATTATTGCTAGTCCTACAAAAGACCAGAAGCAAGAACGGTTACCTTCTTATATCATCATCCCGCATTTTGGCATCATACTCCTTACTAGGTGGGTACTTGGGCAAACTTGAAGGATGGCAAGGAAGAGGCTTTGTTGTGAAGAACTATATTGAATACTCTAAACAGTAAGTAGATGGCTGAAAAACATTAAATTGTAAAGGCCCTAAGTCAAGAACGCAAGTGTACCTCGCTATGTAATGCAGAAGACGAAGATCCCCGGTTTTCAGGTTCAACTGCAAGGAGAGAATCCAAAAGTGCCAAAGCCGATGGCGGGAAATCCTTGAATGTTTCGGCCATGCAGCGCTTGTAAGGCTGTTGTGGTTTAAAAATTGTAGCATGAGGCAACTTTGATTTTCTCCAGTACTCTTCAGATGGTGAACCACAAAGTTTAAAAATTTTATGTAATTGTTCCACCTGTAAATGATTAATACAAATGATGTGAGTCACCAAAAAGATATGCTACCTATGAACAATCAATGACAGAAAGAGACTTTATTTTCTTATCAACAAAGCATCATCGATGCAATTACAAGCCTCACATCTAAACTTTTATATTTGTTTTAGCCAATTAAAATGTTACATTTTGTTGGTCCTGTAATAAGATGCAATACTAAATGAAGATGGGACCCACAAAATGGAAAAAAAGTAATGGGGGCATTGGATAAAGAATTAGTTGGTACCTCTGTTCTTCCAGGCATTATAGGCTTGCCAGCAAAAAGTTCCGCAAGGATGCAACCGGCACTCCACAAGTCAACAGCTACTCCATAATCGGTAGCACCTAGTAAAAGCTCAGGAGGCCGATACCACAAAGTAACAACTCGACTTGTTAGAGGTTGTCTCTGATTGCTGCTAAAAATGGTGGCCAGCCCAAAATCTCCAATTTTTAGATTCCCATTGTTGTCAATCAAGAGATTTGAGCCCTTGATGTCACGATGCAGGATTCCATGTTTGTGGCAATGTTCTAGCCCACAAAGTAACTGCTGCATGTAACATTTGATCTGCAAGTCAAATATATGAAATCTAAATTAGAAGATAGGATGTGGCAAAAAATTGTTATATTGTAGCAAGCATTTCAAACAACAAATATAGCAAAAATGTAAATAGTTCCATCCATTTGTTAAGTCTTCTTGAGGGTCTGTCCTCATCATCATACTTAACATCCAATTGTTTTGAAATGTATGAAGCAGCAAGCAAAAGAGTTGCCGAAAATAATAGTTTCTTAAACCTATGGCATTACTCCCATCATTACAAAAATTAACAGGCATATATCTCTAATTCAAATTTGAACTTTTGGTCCACTTTATTTCCAGAATCACCAAAAGCAGATCCCTACTTCAGTGTGTACTTAGCAATAGTTGAGTGCGACTTAGGGTCTGTTTGTCAGCAGCTTAATGGGATTCACAGCTTATATGGTCAGCTATACATAGACTGTTTGATAGTGGCTTAATGATTATAGAAAGTGGCTTATTCAATAAGCTTCTAGGGGGAGCTTTATGTAGAAAGCCTAGTTTTTTCCAGACCTGTCATTCCCAATTAAAAAGAACATGCTCATTCCATCTATGAAGAAACCCTCCCAAACAAAATCTTTCAATCTAAACAGACAGATTAATCCACACATTCAGGTTTATTCATACAGGACTTAATGGAAAACCAACCACACATCCCCTTAGACCATCCTACCACACTATAAAGTTAACAGAACCATTAAACCATCATCAAGAAGCAATCTAACATGTTTTAAAGGTTCTGAAACTAAAGGGTTTCTGAAGAAAATGATAACTCCAAGCATAAGGCTAGAACATGTTTGAGAATGTAATTAGAGGAAGTGAATGCCAAGCGAGAACCTGTGATTTGTGAATAGTGGGGCCATGTGTTGTATTCTCTATGATATGCGTGCAGGTGTGGGACTTGGGTGCAGGAAGAAACATGGCTGGCTTTCTTAAAATAACCTTTTTTGTGAGAAAAAAGACGGTAACAAAAGAAACATGTGCCAATTGGCTTGAATCCAATAAACAGCTACTATAAGTTAAAAGGCTTAGAGCTTATATATTATTGATAACAATTCTTAGCATCATTGAACAAGATGATTGATAAAAAGAGAAACATATACCTGTGCTTCTGTAAACTTAATCATAGGGGATGCTGCAAGCCCAGCAAGATCATGATCCATGTACTCAAATACAAGATACAAGTTGCCCGACACCCTAGACGTGAGTAGACCTTCAAGCTTCATCACATTTGGATGGTCTAATCTACGCAGAACGATGATTTCCCTTGCCATAAAACGAACACTTTCTGGATCCATCTTAGCAAACCTTACCTTCTTTAAGGCAACAATATTTCCAGTTTCAAGATCACGAGCTCTGTAAACACTGCTGTATGTTCCCTGTCCAATCTACATTAAATTCACAAAGTAAGGCATGATTGACAACTAAAAGGAGACCAATCATACATACTAAATGAAACTAATCTAATCCTTCAGCACCTTGTCGGATATGGGATTAAATAACTTTGATGTATCCGTTGCAATATATGATCACCTGTCTCAGTTTTATAATAAAAAAAAGTTAAAGAAGGAAGGGTGATCCCATCAGCCATTGCACTAAGATTTCTCGACTTTCCCGAGGTTTGTGGAGGGAGTCTTTGTAGCAGTCTTTCCCTTGCATTTTGCAAAGAGGTGGCTTCCATCACTCAAGCCATGACCTTCTATAAAGAGTAACCTGTTGGTGATTTTAGTGTCATAAATATTTTAGTGTAGTTGTGATTTACATTAAATCGATGGGGTTTATTGGTTAAGCTATAATATGAGTTAGGACTTAGGAGGTGTGGAGAGCACACTCGTATAAGCTACCGCAACCTAAGATCACCGTAAAGCAGGGTCAAGGGGGGTTGCACCCCCTTGCGGGGTTCCAAGAGGCATGTAGCCTTCTGAATTATTATTCAGAAGACATGTTGCCTTTTGAATTTCATTTCAGATTGTGGGACTAGAGCAAGTTGCCTTCTGAACTTTAATGTAGTAACAATTTCTTGATCTTATCCATTGGCAGTTATTTGATAATTGTTCTTATCTTCAAAAAACTACCTAACCATTCCAATTAACTGCAGGAAACTACCTACTTAAGGGGTCTTTTGATCTCATTTTAACATAACTAAAAACACAACATAATTTCTACACCCAGTTTTCTAACATAACCTTACGCACCGCTATAAGACTCGCCCCTGATTTAACAATAACATTAATAACATATAAAGAACATTTTTTCTAGATGCCAATCTGATGTGTTCTCCACCATGCATATAGAAATGCTAAAGACAATATTCCAAAGAACATAATTCATTAGAAATATATTAAAATTGGAAAACACGGTTTGCTCCACATACCAGAGACAGAACATGTGAATTTTAATTGCCTTATATCTACAAAACATAGAAATCATACTTAGGAATACACATGGTTTCATTCTTTTCCAAAGCATAAAAGGCCATCACATGTTCATTTAAAACGTATATAGAATTTTACACATTGATGGTTATACAGAATCTAACAGCTTGACTTTAAGTATATATGCAATTTATAATCATCTACACAATTCCATCCTCTTTAGCATACAAGAAAAATGCAATAATATATGGCATTATAAAAAACTTATTATTATCATAAAACAAATGTTGGCAGACCTTGTCCAATTTCTCAAATGAGTCTGCCCTTCGGGGCAACCATCCTTTAATTGCTTCCCCTGCCACGGCAGTCAGCCAAGACGGCCAACCCGCAGCCTCTTGTGCACCATCAACTCCATTGGCAATGCTAAATACTCTACACATTGCCGGCTGATGTATCCCTCCATTCGCTTCAGTCTCAACCTTGGCGGGTTTTTGAGACAGTTGCTCAAGTGGTTGCTCATAAGCCGCACCCCTCCTCTCTCCGTCATCCCACAATGTTTGTCCTGAAGCTGCTGCATTTTCTCCATTACCCTCCGAAATAAGCCGAGTAGTAGCTTCATTACCACCATTATCAACCCCCACTGCAACCTCATCCCTTCTTGAGGAACCAATAAACCGCTTCGATGATCTCTTCGATTCCTTATCTATATACTCGTTTGCTGAAATTCCTTTGGAGCAAATGCACCCCATAATAACCTGAACTCGCAGTTCCCTGTTTCTAGAAAGGAAACCTCACAATTCAAGAATTCACTCTAACCCCTCAATTAGCTCAAAGTTTCTGGCACTAGCCCTGTGATCATATCAATATTTATCCTCGAAATCAATTCACGAAACCGATCAAACAGCTCTTTGACTTATTAATTTGACCTTCATTGAATACCAAATCGTTGATGTATGATATATATATATATATATATATATATATATATATATATATATGCACTCACCTATAAATCACAACGTAATTGGTACCTCGAAACCCAAATTTCTAATTGCATTATGAATCTTTAAAAAATATAATAAACTTGAATCTTTATCCATGTAATCAAAAACCCTAAATTCACCAAATCGCACTAATAATTAAGAACCTAAAACGATTCAAGATCCCCAATCACGATACAAAAACCTAGCCAGTGTGAATGAAAAATCCAAACTCAATAAAGAGCGAGACCCAGATCGGAGAATAAAAGGAATTGTTGAAATTGAGATGAATGAGAAAGAATTATGGGAAGAATCGGACAAAGTCAAAGGGTCAAAACTCTCGAGGGAAACCTATATCAGTTTATTTTATACTTTTTACGATGAGTCGCTTGGAATGGGGTCACTCAGAGAGCTACGACAAGAGAGAAATTCGGATCTATGTGAGGGAAGGGATTGGTAGTTAGTAGTATGAGATGAATTTGGTCTCTGGAATTGTTGCGACTCGTGAAGATGAAGGAATACGTGGGGATGGTTCTTATAAAAGAGGAATCTCTGACGACACATGGCATATTTTCTGTCATTTTCCTACCAACATCCAAATGGCCCCCATTCTTTTCTCAAGAATCCAAAGATATCCATCGGGTTTAAACCATACCCAACGTCATTACACTTTTGGTCCTCTTTGATCCATATTTTTAATTTAGTTTTGGTTCTTGAAGTTCTGTGAAAAGTTTGAAAATGAGATCTGAATTTTAATAAGTTAAGAAATTATTTTTATGGTTTGTATTTTATTTTGAAAATGATCATTGATCATCGACTCTGTTAAAAATTATTATGAATGACATTTTTGTCTTTTTCTTTCTTTTTCCATTTTTTCTTTTTTCTTTTTATTATTAAAATATAGGGTGCGTTTTGTACGCAGACTACGTGGGACGGGACGGGACAAAAAAAATAGTCTCATGTTTGGCATGCCATGGACAAAAAATACATAGGACAAGATGAGACTATTTTTAAATTTCATGGGACAAAACTTGATATTTTTTTGTTCCATCAAAGACCTTCCAGCCTAGTGGTAAAGGCTTGGGCATGACATAGTCATGAACCCGAGTTCGAGTCCTGGGAGGGGAGTGTTGGCGACATTTAAGTGAGGCCATGTTTAGCCTCCAAATTTACCGGGGATTAGTCGGGCTTTGGCCCAGACACCCTTACAAAAAAAAAGGTGGAATAACATGAGACTAAATATAAAATGACCATGTTACCCTTAGACCAATTTGAGATTCAAAACCCAATTAGTCCCGTCTCGTCCCGTCCTATCCAGTCTGCGTAATAAATGCTACCATAAGGACCAACTATGTAATTATATATATATATATAGAGAGAGAGAGAGAGAGAGAGAGAGAGAGAGAGAGGGGTAAGTTATGTTACAAACCTTCCAATTCATGAAAATTATGCAAATCATTTTCGACTAATAAGAAAATTCCATTTTTTTCCTTAATTTTAATAAATAGGGGTATAATGGTCATTTGATTGTATACTGTTTAATATTGGAAGGTAGTAATTACTCTTAATTATGGAAATGTAATAATAGAATCATTAAATATAGAAGGTGGTAAATCAATTTTTCTTAATATAAATTTTTTATCATTAATAGTTTTTATTATTTTACTAAATTATACTTATTAACATATGAATTGTAAAAGCACTACAATATGAAATCTGATTTCGTTTCATTGAAAAAATATATGTAGTTTGAGTAATGAAAGGAATGTCATGGTCAATAGTGACCATGAACACAATTTCACTGATGAATTTAATTTATTAATATTTCGAAACATTTTATGCATGAAAAGGTTTCACTTACGAAAATAAAGTATTCAGTTTTCAAAATGTTTCATACAATTTTCAAAAATGTTTGATTCTTTATATGTTTCATCATTTATTAGGATATCTCTTATTTTAAAATTAGTTTGATTAGAAATTATTAAGAGTTCAATCCTACTTCAATAACCGTTAATGAAATAATTTCATTTATCATTCACTACTACATGTCAAATGGTCCATTTTTCATTGTAAATGACAAGGAGTCACGTGAGTTCATAATATAAACGGTGAAATATTTTCATTCATTCATTTAATGAAACAAAATATTTCATTTAATATTCAAAAGGTTTCATTATTTTTTGTTGATTAAAATCTGTTTTTATGTTTCATAATTTATTAGAATATATCTAGTCTCATTGCTCCTTACTTGGATCTATTTTTAATGTGGATGTTATTTTATTTATAATATTTAGTTATAAAATAAAGATAATTTTTATCAAACATATAATTTGTTATATTATTCTAACATTTTTGGTTAAAATCTTTGTAATGATAAAACGATATATAGAGATTTTAAAACAATGATTTTGTTTCATTAATGTTAAGATATCCACGATCTTGTTATCTCGTTTACAAAATCACACAAATTAAAATTTTGATAATTTTGGCCTTTTTTTAATTAAAAATTAAACTTTTATTTTTATTTTATAATATAAACACATTTAATCTTGACTATTTATCAAAAAAATTGATGGATGAGATCGGTTTGTAAGGTTTTCACAAATGAGGGTGGTTTGCAATTGATCGCCCCCCCTTCTCTCTCTCTCTATATATATATATATACATACATATATATATATATATATACATATATACTGTATTATATTATAAAACATTTGACAAAAACTCTTAAAAACAATTTTTTATGCATAAATTAATGCATGTTACTTAAAACTCAATATTACAAGTAGGTTGTGCGTAAGTACAACTTATTAAAGCTACATATCTAAATTCGTGTAACTAACTGCAGATAAACATAATCAAATATAGGATAAACATCTCATTTAAAATATAAAAAAATCTAAAATATAATTAGAATAATTATTGAGTTCTAATAGAATACTTAATTATTATCTTTATAAAATGTTATATTATTAAACCATAAATAGATTATTTCATTATTAAACTATAATAAAAAAATCTAAAGAAATTACATAATCTATACTATATTATAAAACATTTGATAAAAACTCTTAAAAACCATTTTTTATGCATAAAATAATGTTTATTAATGCATGTTAATTAAAACTCAAGATTACAAGTAGGTTGTGCATAAGTACAACTTATTAAAGCTCCATATATGAATTCATGTAACTAACTGCAGATAAACACAAATATATGATAGACATCTCATTTTAAATATAAAAAATTTAAAATATAATTAAAATAATCATTGAGTTCTTACAGAATACTTAATTATTATTTTTATAAAATGTTATATTATTAAACCAAAAATATATTATTTCATTATTAAACTTAAATTAAATTATAATAAAA